CTCTCATAGAAATGTTCTAGATGGCAAAGAAGCGAATATAATATAAATCGCGCGTCGCGTTTTTCTTTCTCTCTAATAATAAACTTAACGCTATAGCAACACTACCCATTCGTATGTTTTACACACGTTTTGCCGAAAATAGGTGTTTTATGCGTCCAAAACGGGCATGACGTAATATATCAAATATTGTATAATATATCATATTTTTTATAGTCTACATTGATATCATATAGATAAGATTTCTAAAATTTTTTTTTAATGTATAAATTGCAGACTGCATTTATGAGAATTTTATTTCCTTTTCAAGGAAATCTTGATCCAATTATTACCGATAAAGAGATATGAGACGTGATGATGATATCAGTTGTACAATTGTATTTGTACAAGATTAAGATAAAAAAACATGGGTTGTCGAATAAGTTTAAATCAATCATATTAATTTTCTAACGAATAAACAAGGTTTTAGCGTAATTCAAATACTACATGAAAAGAATGATTCTGCTGAAGTATCTAAAAATTTAAATATATATGTATAGACACAGATTTGAAAATAATTTTGTCGAACTATCAAAACAATTACGTAGGAAACTCAAGCATGACGAGAATAATACAAAAAGTTTCGAAATTCTATTAAACGACTTAAGCATAATTATTTTTGGTAGTTCAATAAAATTACTTTCAAATCTTATCCAGCAACATTTTTAGATACTTCAGCAAAATCATTTTTTCCACATAATATTCATATTCAGCACACTTCCTATCGTTATCTCAATGCTGTTATCTTGATAATACTTGAACAATCATCTCAAGCGTCATAAAATCAGCCATTAATTTTTCCACGCTCGCACAACTGACGAAGCAGAAAGTATCGCTGATACGGCACCGTGGATCGTCACGTTTCAATCTCTGTCAAATAATACAAGCGAGTCAGAGTACTCGGCTCGGATAGTAATGCGATATTAGGTATTCCACGTGAACACGTCAGTGGGACATTAAAGTAACTGATGTTCGCGCTCGCAATTTATGTGTAGAATATACAAATGGTAAAAGGTAGTGCTCTCCTTTTTTACCTCTTATATGTATTGAAATATCTAAATTCTAAATTCTATCACTTGAAACACATGTGATGTCGATGGACGAGTGAACTAAAAGCAAACTTCTTCGTTCACGTAATTACATTGCGCATAAATTACTTAATATAAAAATTCTTTTCTTACGCGCAGTTCATTTTTAATGTTATGTTGAAACATCGCTGCGGTATTACAATACTAATCGCCAATTCATGGTACCAGTCTTATATACCATTAAAAAAAAAAAAGAGAGAAAAATCGTAGAAATTGTAGCGTTATAACATGGTCCCTCGACGCATCACTTTTACATACATTGTAAGTCCATATTATAAAAAGGAATTGACGAAGAATAATCTACGAAGAATAATCTGACGTTTACAACTTGGTCCCTTCAAAAATATACATTAATTTTACGTTATAAAAAAAAAAAAAAGAACTAATACGCGAGATACAGCGCGTCAATTGTAACTTAGCCTATCATTTCTCGGTATTCGCGTATAAAATCGCGGACACGTCTTTTTTGTGCGTGGAATGACGAAACGCGAAGACGCACGTTAATTAATCTACGCACTTATGCATATACACACACATTCATACATAATTCTCCCTCTCTCACTCTTTCTCTCCTTCTTTCTCTCTCATTCTCTCGATATGCTCACATACATATACAAGTGAACTTTTCTTGCTTTCTCTCTCTCTCTCTCTCTCTCTCTCTCTCTCTCTCTCTCTCTCTCTCTCTAACATATAGCAACCTACAATGTACATGCGCATTCTACGACACGCTTCTAGGATAAGAAAGATCATAGTGTTCGGTAGCATGAAGAAATGAAAAGTTAGATTAGGTTCGCGGGGGGCGGCGAGTGCGATCGTTTTCCCTCGTGTGTGAAAGCGATCGAAGAGAACATCTCGGAGTTCGCGGCGCGAACCGAGAAACCGGTACGAACACCCGCCGGATGCTGAATCCTCACCAACTCTTTGCGGAGAGATAAATCTCTTCGCGAAAGGCACGTCCGGTCCCTGCTTTACGCGTTACAGGTTATTGCTGACCCTTGATCCCACGCGCCGAACTCGAGATATACGCTCAATTCGATTATATATAGAAGAAAAAAAAAAAAAGAAAAAAAAAGAAAAAATATGAAGAAAACAGCTGAGGCAGGAATTAGTTGCTAAGATAGCACGCGAACGCCGTCCTCCGCTTTATCACACGATCCAAGTCTGCGAACGAAGGCTTCCGAGAGTGCCGGGAGCACTCTCTGATTTCCATTTTTTTTTGTCCTTTAAGCTCTGTCACAGGTGTTTCTTTTTCTCTCCTCGTTTTCTTCGAAGGACAAATCCCATCCTCGGGGACAATCGTTTCGCACGGCAAAGCTCGAAAATATGCGGACATACCGCGGCACGCTCGCGCCGAGCGTGACAATGGAAACCCCCCGGCGGGCATGCGGCTCCTCCCCGCATATTTTCTCCGTTCCCGCGCATATTCCTACGAGGCTGATCGCCATTCCGTTCCGTGTACCTTACTCACGGGACGTACGGGCTCGCGCTCCGAGTACGCGAGACTTTGTAGGTATGCAGACGCGAGGAATGTACACGCAAAGAACGATTTTGCAAATGTTCATCTCTATTAACTGTAATTGATGGAAACGATGGCATCAGAATTAGAAAAAGACAGAAAAATTTGCGAAAAATTTGCTTAAACTTCAACGCGTTGACTTTTATATCTTGTGCCTTTGATATCTTGATTTATTTTGACATTATTTATTTATTTGAAAAGATAAAAAATTAAACCAAGATTAAAATTAATCTGCATTGGTAGAAACGGATTTAAGTATAACACACGTTGTTTATAACGCATTGTAGAAATTCGAAAATAATTTTATTGTTAAAATAATTATGTAAATATGTAAAAAAAAACTCCAGCATTGTGCAAAAAAATCTATGTAAGCATTACAAGAAATATATGAACATTTTGTAAAGAAGATTGCAAAAATTACTATTCTCACTTACTCGATACTTTTAAATATTCACATTTTTAAATACTGAAAGTCAAAAAAACATTCTAATATTAAAAAAAAAAATCAGTTTAAGCGTCTTCTGTATAATTATTTTAAAAATCCAAAATTTTATTTTTAGATCTGTATTTAGTTAAATTTGTATACTCATATTCATAGTCAGGTCATATAAGGCTTCCTTAAATTTATCTTTAAATACTCTACGAATTATTTCATTGGCTGCTAAACATCTAAAGATAAATAAATTTAAGGAAGCCTTAAATGTAAGGCTTGACTATGAATACGAGTATAAAAATTTAACTAAATACAGATCTAAAAATAAAAGTTTTGGATTTTTAAAATAATTGTACAGAAGACGCTTAATTGATTTTTTTTAAATATTAGAACATTTTTTTTTTTACTTTCAGGTCTGACTATGAATTCGGACATTTGACATTTCGAGAAAACCGTTCTTTCTATGCGCAATAACGTGGCGAGGTGCTTCGCGGAAGGCTGAATTTTTTATTTCCCGCGTGTGCGATCATGGGATGACGTTCATGTCGAGGGGGCTTTATCCGCGATTGCGTGCGAACTCTGCTAGCAAAGTACACGCGTGGATGAAAACGATAACGGACGCAGGCCAACAAACTCGGGTTTTCACGTTAAATACCAACTCGGCATCGTGTTAATGTAACGAAAGCAAGAGATAAAGAAATAAATTTCACTTTAATTTTTTTTTAGTCGATTAATTATCATAATTACATATGATGAATAATGTAAACAATCGAGTTGAGTTGTGAGAAGGCCAGTTGAAGCGTTCTAATTAATTGTACGTCATGGCAAAAATGATCGGTTGACTCGAATTGCCTCGTAGTATATATGCAAATTAAACTTTTGTGCTTATCTTGATCAGAATTTTTATTAATAAAAATAAAGAAGAATAATTCCGATCTCGTCTGAAATTAATCTAAATTTTTTTTATATGAAACTGAGTAAGAAAAATCATATTTAATTGATACAATCGTATCAATGACGTTATTAAATGGACATTTTTTACATTTTTGAAAAAAAATTCTGTACAATTAAAGAAAGAAACAAGGAATCTATTTAAGAATTCAAAATCCGATAACTTGTGTTACTCATTGCCATATGACGAAACACAATTCGCTAAAAATTAAATAAATAAACAATAAATGTCAGAGTTCGACACATGTGGTTGACATTTAGATCACGAATTCGATAGCTAGAAGTGCGCGAGATAAAATAAATAAAGGAAATGGATAAACGAAAGATAGAAAACAAGTGGAATGAGCGGCGTATAAAATCGATGAGAAACTCTCCACAGGTGAAAGGATTCGAAGACGAGGAGAGTTCGACGCGAAGACGAGGAGAGACGTGGAGACGGGCGGCGGGTTGCGCGCTTTGTCTTCACCGCAAATCCGACGTCGAATGGAAGCGTGTACTCGCGCGAAAGAGGAACGGCGAGACATAAAAATCTTGGCCTAACTATCCAAGGGCCAAATTGCACCGACGCTAATACTGATTTTAGTTCGATTGACTTGAGATCCTGCAATAATTCAGAATTAGTATCGGAAAAAAATATAGAAATCGATCTAAATTCTACGTCGATAAAAGAAGTCGTTCATTAGATATAATTAATTGATTATACCTTAAATCTAAATTAACTATAAATTGAAAATAAACAAAACTTTATTAATCTCGATTCGTCAAAAGATACTCATCTTAACTGATTAAATTTCATTTTTTTTTTATATCGACGTACGTGAATTCTAAATAACATTAACATTCGCTTACTCGATAGTTAATCCAATTGATGCTAATCGAATTAATTTAGAACATCTCTGATGTTCATCGTGATAATTCGAATCGAAGGACCAATTTAAAAGCAATTTTAATTAGTCTATCTTTCTTCCTTATTTGTATATTACGAATAAAATATAGAAAAGCAAAGTCCTAAATCAGACAGTCGTCGATGCAATTTAGCTTAAAATTCTACAATTTTTTCGATCCTCCATTTTATATCTGCATTATCGATATGGCTGTCTTCCTCCCTCATTCTCTCTCTCTCTCTCTCTCTCTCTCTCTCTCTCTCTCTCTCTCTCTACATTCTTTTACTCTCATCTCCAATTTAGAGACATCCTACCGTTTGCTTCTTCCCTATGTCGAGCAGGGTTATCACTTAGGGAGAGAGATAAGGAACCTTCCAGAGGACTTGAGTGGAAACGTTCCTTGAAGAGATCCTTCTCGATTGCTTGATGTTACACATTCTCCTTGCCTTGCAGCTTAGTTGCAAGATCAGCGACGAGTTGCTTGTACACCAATGGATCGATGTTCTTACCGAGCTGATAGAGAACAAACCAATCGCCGATCTGACACTTGTCGCTGATGATTTTAACTTGGTCATGCGGCGAGAGACGCGAGCGTGCTCGTAACAGCACGTTTCGCAGTTTCGGGCCAAGTACTACTGCTGCACGATAGAGCAGGCTAAGACCGCTCAGGATTGATAAGATGATGAACCAAAACCAGAGGAACACGTAGATCTTCTCGTTGACGATATTGAGCGGGAGCACGCAAAGCCCGTCAAACTTCTGCACTGTACCAGATGCACCATATTTGTGGAATGTGCACTTAGTAACCTTCGGAAACACCTTGGACATGGGATCGATACGTTCCTCAGGTTCCATCTCCGTGAACTTGATGACATCGGAGCCGTACGTGGTAAACTCGCCATCCAGGAAGAAGTCTATGAAAAAGATCTGGCCGACCACGTTGATGAAATTCAACAATTCGCACAGGAAGAAGCGATATGCGTAGAAGTTTTGCGAGTGCAGATTTGAAGTGAAATAGTCGACTAGCAATTTACGCCGGTCGCTCTTACAATCTTCGCTGACTACCGGACAATTGAGATCCAGCACCAGCATCTTGATCCTGCCACCCTCCCACGTTTTCCAGAGATAGCGTGGAACGTAGAAAAGGATCGCCTGGAAGAAGAGAGTAAAGCAGACCCACTGATAGTACTTATGATACTTGACTTGATCCTGGCCCTCGACGTGCGCGGCAACTCCCGGTTGCACCAGGTCCTTGCCCACTATGCCGGTTCGATCCGGGATCGTGAAAGTGGAATAGATCCAGCAGTAGGTGTCCATCACATGCAACGGGATTTCGTCGACGATACAATCGATCGGGTCGCCAATATATTGTCGAGAGGTCACCAATAGGGAGAAGATGATCAATATAACCACGGTGGCCTTGTAGTGCAGTCGAAATACATTGTTGTCGATACAGACGGTATCGAGCTTCAGCAGCCCCTTCACAGAGCCGAACACGTCAAACATGGTAGCGGTGGCGGTGACTGTGCGTTAGCCCTCTTTCCTTTTTCTCAATCGACTATTCGCCCTAAGTACTCACGCACACGCGTTTCGATCGTCAACCGGTCCAGTCACAAACCGAATTCGTTTTGTACAGTCTCCAGGTTCCACGACGCGACAGCCGTGTGTCGTGCACGTTCGGGAGTCACGTTCGGCAGCTTCCGCGCTTCCTCGTTCTCACTCGCGTAACGCCAACCCCCTTCGGAGTTCAGTGGCGACAGCGGCCGATCGACCTTACGTTAATTCGTTCTGTCTCTTGCGTGCGCACACGTGCTCACCCTCTGCTGTTACGCCCGTATTACGCGGCAGACGGCGTCGGCGAAATTCACTGCGTCAATTCACGCGTGTAACAACAACGTGGTCACGCTATCGTCGCGCTCGCGATTTACTACACAACGTTACCGAGCGTCACCGAGCGGCTCTCTGTCGTAATGGCTGCGCTGAGCGCTCGAGACGCGACACAAGCACGCGAGGACAAGCACGGCGCGCCGCGCGGCGTTCCACGAGCTGCTCCCTTTTCCTTGCCTCTCTCTGTCTCTCTCTTTCTCTAGTCCTCCCCCTCTATCGTCCTCTCCGTCTCGCTCGTTCACCGTACTATTTCTTCCTTCTTTACCCTGCAACTTGCTGGCCAGTCGGGGACCGAAAACTGTTCGCTGGCTTCTGCGGCGCGACAGGGAGGCTCTCACTCTGTCCCCACCTACAATTCTCTTGCTCACCCTCCTAACGTTGTATCCGTCCTCCTTGCTCTCTCTTTCGCCAGGTAGTCTCTCGCTTTTTCCCTCGTTACGATCGGCGCACGCTCGGCCGCTCTCGGTTTTTCGTCTCGTGGCGCATTCGGCAGACATCGGCGGGCCTCGGACACAGTTCGCTTCAGCGCGCGGCGACATGACTCTCGCATGGTTGTTACCATGGCGACTGGCTACCGATGCCGCGGGAGCGTGGGATTCTTCAAGCACTTTGATCCAGTCGCGATCGACGCTAAATCATTCGTTCTTTCTTTTTACATCTATTATTAGAATTATTAGGAAGGAAGAATATATTTCTACATCTTCCATATCAAATATATCAATTAAATTTGAATATATAGTTTTTGTACCTTTTTATTATTGGTAGAAATAGCATTTAAAACAAACCAAAACTCGATTCCATCAATGTAAGATTAACTTTAATTTTAATTTAACTTACTGTTTGTCTTTTTTTAATTCTCACGCTTACATTTATCTTATTTTAATTCTTACAGAAAAAAATAAATAGAAAATTGAATCGAGATTAAAATTGATCTTATATTGGTGAAACCGAGCTTAAATAAACTTTTAATCTGGAGTTTATTTTGATGCAATATATATGAAAATTCAATTGAATCTAAGATGATATTAATATCAGCTAATATTGATTATGAAAAAATAGGTTTTTTTCGTGTTTGCTAAAACAATATGTTCATATTATTCTATTCTAACAGTAGATGACAATTAAAATAAATTACAAATCAAATTTGTGTTTCAAATGTCGATTTTTTTAGTATTATTTATATATTTTATATGTCATAAATTCTCATAAAATCATAATTTATATTTTCTAAATAAAACCTCTTCTTTATTGAGATATATTAAATTTAATTAAAATCATAAAATAGAGATTATGAACTCAAATTTGTTGGAACGGTGAAAGAGAAATGCAAGTAGAAATTATATCAATTTGCCGTGCTGCATCCTTGAAAAGTGCAGATAAATTACAAATTGCTTTAACATTTTCTTCCTTCAGTGACACAAAATTACGTTCTAAAATTACGTAACACATGAATGAAAACCAGTGAAAAACTGTACTGCTATTTTTTTTTTTTTTCATGCGCGCAACATTGTATGATAAAGCATGACGTTTGTATGACGCAATGATAATATCTTTATCTAAATGTGGTTTATGCTGCAAACCTCTCTCACGCCGTTTACTCATGACATTTACTTGGAAAGACGTACGCGGATCTTACAACGTGAATGCACAATTATTGTAGTAATAATATTATATGCTGTGCCAGTACTTAAAATAAGCAACACGTTTCTGAGCTCAGAAATTCAAAGGACTTTACTAAATCACCTTTCTTTTCTGCGTGTCCTTGATGTTCTTAGTAGGAACACTTGAAGAAGAGCTTTTCTCTTTTCGTTCAGAGCAGGTCAAAAAGAAACTAAATTTAGATATTTTCTATCTATTTTTCAAAACCTAAAATTCTTGTACTAGAAGACTGAGATTATTTACAATTCAAAATATTCAGAATTAATTATTATGAATTAATAATTAATTTATGTTGATTTATTTATATTTGGAAAATACTATGGTGCCCATATATCGCAAAAGAATCCTGCAAACAATTTATATCGTTAATCGATACGTTTAAAATTACAATATACATAAAATATCTCTATTTGCAATTAATGTATTCCAATTATATTATTACATATTATTAAACATCAAACGATAATGGGCTACGAGCTGAGCTAAATTTTAATCTTAAAGATATTCTCTATATTCTTTGGAGTGGACTCTCACTATAAAAAGAGTGAACAATGAATCAGTCCTGAAAAAGAGTGGCTCAATCTTCAGTGTTTAAGAATACATATTTCACTCTTCGGAATAACAATTTATTTTAGACAATAAATATTTTATGTAGTAAATATATAAACATTTTGATCTTTATCAAGTCAATTTCAATATCAAGAAAACAGTATAAAATGACAATTAAATAACGTATAATTTAATAACGTACAAATTGATAATCGTCACCTTGTTGATGTTACTCGCAAAGACTAATATACAAACACGATGTCTCGTAGAGATATCTCTATCCGTTATTATAAATATAAATTTAACAGATTACCGTTTAGGTTACTGATGGGTAGAGATATCTCTACGAGACATCGTGTTCGTATATTAATGTTTGCGAATACCATCAACAAGATGACGATTTATCAATTTGTACGTTTAAGTTAAATTTAGAGTAAATCGTAAATAATGTTGGATGTCAGTCATAAATAAAAATTGACAAAGCGTTATTGAAATCGCAAACCTTAAGGAGTATACAAACTCAAATCATATGTCATCATAAGAATAGTCTGAGATTTTGATTATTTTTTACAGAGATAGGTGTATAAGATATATGAATTATATGATTATACTATTCCTCGTCAGAATATGAAATATAATCTTTAGCATTAAAGCTCATTATTTTCACTTTATTTTTAAACTTATTAAGTGTTTTTATTTACAATTTATGTACCATTAATATAAAAATTAATTATTATCTATAATCATATTATACAAATTAGTGCACCAATTTTATTCATCCTGCGCATCGAATCGTAAATCATTTATAATCATTGTATGTCGTTGAGCGCGTGTTCTAAATATAGAGGTAGTGTGATGAAACCTATGCCTTTTCGCTGATTAATTATTCTCGCTAAATCTATATTTAACAGATTACCGCTTAGGCTACCGAGTAGCGAATAAGGATACCTCTATATGAGACATCATGTTATTATATTATAATTCGCGAGTAACGTCAGCAGGATAACGTTATCTGGCTAAACAATTCTATCATGTTGCGTTGAGAAAGCGTCAGATATTAAAATAATATAGCCAGCTGTTAGAATCATTTCATAGAAGAACCACGTCCGAATCATCACCTCGTTATCTCGCTGTTCAGGCAGGACTTTACCAGGCACGGATTCAGATGAATCAGCGAACTGTTCCGCGAAAAGGGATCTTTAACTCTGGTAGCATTAAGAAAGAGCCATAAAAGACTCAAAGACCAAGGAATTCCAAACCGGTTGAACACGATTCAATTTTCGAAGTCGGTCGAACAAAATAATCATTTTATTCATCCACGGACGACATTATTTGCGAACATATTTTTCGTATTTGCTACATTCCACAAAAATCGAATGCTTCATACGAAAAAATTGCTTTAATTATTACGTATATACATACGTATATAACATACGTACATATGTGTATATCATTCTTTGTTCAGACAAGACAACAGAACAGAGTTCGATGCACTTGGGAAAAGCTAGTAATAAATCGCAAATTTGATTTGAAATTATCACTGATTTCAACATTCCTCGTAAAATTTTACAACTTTCGTTTGAGCGGCTCTTATCCTTTTGACGCGACACGTAACTGGCACTACAATACAATTGTGCATTTATGTTTCAATATTGATATCAGATAAGGTAGGATATCTATTAATCGCGAAAAATGTAGATAAAATGAATTATATCCTATCGTGTAATCGTCTAAAGATTTTACAACCTTATATTGATACATGTAATCTGATCCGGGAGATAAAAATCATAATATTATTTAATTTACAATCGATATTATATGTGATACATGTATGTGATACGTATGATACATCGTACGTGCTTGTGACTCATGATACGATGTTTAATTCGGGAATAATCATCTGGAATATTTTGTATATTTTAATTAAAAATCTTTTATATAATAAAATTTAGATGATTATTATTATTGTACCTCATTCAATTCTGTCCGAAAAATCAAAATAGAGAGATCTTTATATTCTTATTATTACGTTTTCTTGTTTTTGTACAATGGAAAATATTTCTTAATCCCGATTCTATAACTAAAAATAATTCGATATCATTATGTTGTCATTGCTTAGATTATATATAGTAAAAAAGCTACGCAATAACAGCATAACGATATTGACACTGTCATTACCCAGACATACAATATTTATATACAATATTTATAAAATGTTTACAACATATTTGTAAGATTTATTTTTGATATTTTGTAAATATTTTTTTTGTAATATTGTCTTAGATTGGATTGGGCAGATCATAAATATTTATTATAAATATTATGAAATATTTCTTATATA